GGAGAAAATGATAATGAAAAAAAAAAACATGCCATAAGCATGCAATCGCAATTTCGTACAGTTGCCTGTCAAGAATATGAATGACTATATGTGTTGAAATGATACAGATACTTCTTTAGAGTTGAGCACTTTTATGCATGCTGTTTCAAATTATTATTTCATTGGTAGACATAATTTCTAAGAAGAAAGGTGCCAAAACTGAAAATTATTAGATTCCATAATAACAATGTCAGCCCCATGTGTATGACTGGCTGGGGTTAATTAGCAATTAATAGGAATATACTTTGAACATGCTTAGTATTTCTTTTTATTAATTTTTTATGTCAGAAATTTTGCATACTTTTATTTAAAACCAGTATTTAGGGTGAGATTATAAACAAGCTACAGTATACACCAATTACAAAATTCATGTGGACACCATTGCAGTTATTTCAAAGCACTTCATTTACCAAAGATCAATTCAGAACAAAATTCAATCTTAGGAAAAAAAAAACCCAAATCTATGCATCATTTGGAAATGGAAAAAATGAACAAACAGGGTTTTTTTGTATATATATGAGAGAAGGTAATTCATTTCCCATCTCTATTCCCCATATAGTTTTTTTTAATATATAAAAGTGGAATAAGTCATACGTATGTTCCTAATCAAGCAAAGCGTGAGGGTACAGCAGAGAGTTATAGGTTATGGTGAGTGAAAAGCAGTTTAAGATATTTGTTGACATATGTGTTTATTTGTGGCTCATCTGGCACTGAAGTCACGGAAAGTGAAACAATATGAGTGAAGGCTAGATGTGGAACATACAGTAACTTAAATAATTGAATGCATTTTGCACAACCACATACTCATGAATAGAGGCCTACAGTAAAATAAAACAAGAAATATTTGTGATCTTCGGATGCTGGATAACTGGTGGCTTTAAGTATTGTCATCTTGTTAAGGCTACCTTTTTGGAAAGTGTGCAAAAAAAAAGTGTAAAAAATAGTGAGGAAGTATGTCAGAGAACTGATACCCCAACTCACATTTCATTTCAGCCCTATTGCTTCAGCCTATTGCCCAGCACTATGCATCTAAGAGTTTAACATGGGAAAATATGATTCTAAGAAAATATTGCCTTAATAATAATATAATTATGCACAAAATGAAGAAATTTTGTGCATAATTTGTTCATAATACATACTACTAATATCTTAATCCAGCTATCTAATAATCAGAATCTACCAAGGACACAGATAGTACAGGTAGTCCTCAACTTATGGCCCAATCAATCCCAACATTTCTGTTGTTAAGTCATACATTTGTTAAGTGGGTTTTGCCCCATTTTATGACCACAGTTGTTAAGTGAATCACTGCAGTTAAAAAGTAAATAACCTGGTTGAGTGAACCTGGTTTCCCCATTGATTTTGCTTGTCAGAAAGTAAAAAAAGATGCTCACGTGACCTTGGGACACAGCACCAGTCACAAATATGAACCAGTTGCCAAGCATCTGAATTTTGATCACATGATTATGGGGATTTTGCAAAGGTCGTAATTGTGAAAAACGTTCATTCACTTTTTTCAGTGCCATTGTAACTTTGAACTGTTACTAAATGAACTGTTGTAAGTTGAGGACTACCTGTATATGGATTCCCCAATTCATATTAATATGAATCATTTTCCAGAACTGTTGAGTTTCCTGGCATGCCAGCATATATAAAACAAGTTATCTGTCATGCTAATTATGTTTCCAACATTTTTTTTGAAAATGAATTTCTCACAATTTCTTACAATCAACATTGAATTACATTGGTATGATAAAACATGTTAATTTCATGGGTGAATAATATTTGGAGTAAATTTAATCTTCCATTGAAATTCCCATTGTTGACTATCTAATACTGCATTCCAATGCTGCCTCTATTTAATCATACAGTCTTTAGATGTTTGGATTCTGAGTCACAATTCACTAACAGTAGAAATAGGTCTCAACATATATTCTGAAATGTGTGTTACAGGATTTTCAAATTCATTCAAATATTCTTCATTTTTTCTGCATTTTTTGCTACTAAACAATAGACACTAAAACCTATTAGGTAAACTGGAATATTGCAAAATAAAGAGTTTCAAAACATTTTAAACTTAGTTTTATTAATAATTAAATCTTGCTATCTGAAGAAAGTTTTAGCTCTCCACTGAATATATTTCTATGGTATTTTTTCTCCATAAAAGCAAACATTTAATACGGATACGAGAGAAATCTGGATTGATCTTTTTCTGATAACTATTCTTTGTATTAAATATATTATTTATTATTGCATTTTATATTTATGCTAGGTTGAATTTAAATGTGGCCTTTCAAGTGTTACATGTATTAAAGAAGCAAGGCCTGCTAAAAAATTCCATCCCCAGCAATTCAAATAAATAACCATTATTTGGCTTTGTAAGAATTAATCAATTTCCGTTTTATATAATCAGCTCCTCCGTTTCATATGCACCTTGTATCTTCTTCTTTAATGTAATAAAGAAATGTAAATTCAAAAGTCATTCCATTTACATCATTTTATGTTGACACAGCAATTTTGTTAGAAACAGTCCTGCTTTAATCCTATAGAGTATGAGCCTGCAGTCAATATGGCCCATAGCTATAAGGAAAATATTCTTCAATTACAAAGGCCTGGATGGTGGTGCTGGCAGAAATTCAGAACAGCTGCAAAAAATACTAACTTAAATTATACTGCTTAGTGAGCTCTCCTTGTCTTAAGGAAAAGAAACACAAAATCCATGACCTCCTTCTAAATGAATCTTTTATTAACATAATCTAGCACTTTTTAACTTTTGTAGAATTTATTGTCTATCTTTTCGCAATTTTCCAGTCAAAGAAGTGAAAAGTTCATTCCAAGTATTCATAACTTCAAAGTTGGCTTACTTCAGGGATTGGCCACCTTCTTAAATAGGTGTGGGGGAAGACTGCCTGCCTGCATTTATTTCCCCAAAGCATCAGGAAATTGTATCATTAAAATTTAGTAGCAAAATTTGTGTTGACATAGTTCTCAATCAACCCTCCCATTCCCCAAGTTAAGAGTAAGAATGATGACTTCTGGGAGTCAAACAGCTTCAATTTCCATCCTTAGCCCAGATACTTTAAAAAATGTTTCCACAATAAACCACTGACAGAATTCATCCATTTCTTTGCACCCTAATTTGGAACTTCTTGGCAAAAGGAAAAAGTGAACTTTTTTCATCGAGAGGCCTCCAAGTTCTATTCATATATAAAAAATATCAGGAGGAGGAGGAGGAGGAGGTGGTGGAGGAGGACTCTCTTTCTAGTCAAGATTGTCTATACACTGAGGTTAGTTCACAAATGAAAGCAAAACATGATGCCTGTACAAGGAAAACTTTTATGATTGCTTAGAAAAACATTGTCTTGAGAAGTGGAATTACCATCACTGAAGTTTTTTAAAAAGAGACTGGATAACCATTTGTCTGACACTTACAGGTTTCCTGGTCGAGCAGGGGTTGGACTAAAGATCTCCAAGGTCCCTTCCAACTCTATTATTCTATATTCCAGAATGGGTTTCACCCATAGTAATGATGGTCCAGAAAGATGAAAATGTTTGAACTGAAAGAACAAAATGGGGTCACTGCAAATAACTACCAAAAATCAAAAGAATGGGAATGAACTTTTGGAATAACAATTATCTTTGCCTCTGTACATTTAGTATTGAACTCTATACTAAGGAATAGGGTCTAGAAAATGTGGAATAAAGAAATAACCTTAGAGTGTCTACTATTGACCTCACCCCTTTCCTAAGAGGTCTGTAGGGGACGTGCATAAGTGCACCAACGTACCTACCATCCCTGTCCTATTGTTTCTTTTTTATTCGTATCCATTTCATGTATTCATAACCATGCTTATACTTATACCTGTTATTTAATACTTGCTTGACAAGTAAATAAACAAATAAATAAACAAACAAATAAATAAATAAATATGGCTACTGATAAACCAATGTGATTTGTCCAATCCCCTTCTCATCTCTCTGATAAAAAAGATTACAACCAGCATTAGCTAAAAAACTGAGCTTATAATTATGGCAAGAACAATTTTCCTAATTAAAAATGGCAGACTATGTTCACAGCATTCAAAACTGTTTGGAGTAACCTGAATCATCATCTTCTGTTCCTTTATATGCAGCTATTTTTTTATTTTAAATATCTTCTGAAGCACCAATCATATGCTGCTTCTATATTATTTTATTTTAAACCAAAAATAGATTGAAAAGTAGACATTCAGAATTTTTTAAAAAGAGAATTATCATTCATCATGATTGTTTAATATTTTCCATTATTAAATTTTCCTAATGGCAAAGCTTTCTTTATTAAAAACTAGGGGGGGAAATTCTATTCAATTAATTAACTAATTTGTTTTAAACGCAACAATTATGCTTAAAGTTATTTACACTATGAAATGTACAGAAAAATGCTTCAAGATATTTATGTCCATAATCCAATTCATAACTTTCATGTAACTCAAGAGATGACATGTGCTAATTTAAATCTGAAGAACAAAAACCTAAATATTATGTGTTCATATATTAAACTCACAATTTGACGTGTTATTTGAAAAATAAGATTTGAACTTCATATGAAAAACAATTCTTTGTGGCCATTTCAATGCAATATGAGCAATATTTGACTTTTGCATATATGCCTTTCATGATAGTATCCAAATTCTTGAAATGTATAGTTTATACAACTTCCAGATGAGGACATAATACTGAACTAGTTTTAAAAATAGATTTCAGAAGAATACACAGCCAGAACGTATTCTTCTATTTCAGCTATAGTGATTTCTACTTTCAGTGAAAACCAGCCATTTGCTAATTCCTTCAATATCTGTAAATGAGAAAAAGTGACAGCAAAGATCTACTAGGCTAGTGGTTCTCAACCTTCCTAATGCCACATCCCTTTAATACAGTTCCTCATGTTGTAGTGACACCCAGCCACAAAATTATGACTCATTTCCTAAGACCATCGAAAATATGTGTTTTCCAATAGTCTTAAGCGACCCCTGTGAAAGGGTCGTTCGACCCCCAAAGGGGTCACGACCCACAGGTTGAAAACCACTGTACTAGACTGAAAAATTCAATAAAGCTAATGCATCTGCTTGATGGCTTCTGCACTTTTCAAGTTTGACCTAGTAAGAATTAGCATTTGTCACTTGTTATCTCCTTACATTCTGTGTCTTAGAATTGTTCTGTCTAGCAATTCTACCAATTTTTTCACTTTTCCTTTACAAAACAATAACTGTCTTCCTTAATGATAGTTTGAGTGCAAACCAGTCTCAAGTTCAAACCAACAAATCAGTAATAAGAAATTCTTTCTTAGAAATTGAATTTTTTCATAAATTTACTCATACGACAAACATGATGGTTATCTATATCCCAATACTTTGTTTCTGCCCATTTTTCAAAAAGAAAGACAGAGGCAGATGCGGGGGCAGAGAAGAAAGAGGAAGGGAGAGAGGGAGGGAGGGAGGAAGGAAGAAGAAAGTAGCATGAATAGTTGAGGATATCCCGTGGGAAGAGTATGAGACAGTAGCTTATCTTTTTGGTACTATTCTGTATAAAGTATAAAAATTTTCAGTTGAGGGAAGGTACTACCAGGGAAGTGAGATAGAAAGTATGAAGCTTCTTATAGTTATATATTATATATTACTGCCACTTTACCATCACTTCAATTAGAAACTACCTTTGTTTCATGACAGAAAGGAGTAGAAAAAATTTATAACTGGTAAGACCTTGCTTAATGATATTCTCTTCCAAATATTTTAGAATTTTTGTCAACTTGAAGGCAGTTTTCAAAATCTGAAAATAATCTAACTCAGTTTTATTACAGACCAATGTTTCATGTTTCAGCTGGTACTAAGACACTGGTGATCTAGATAAATTTATCTACTGATATTATACTAGCCTTAGTGAAGGCTTGGGGATAGAATTGAAACTAGATGAAAGATAAGGTTTAAAAACTATGGTTAATGTTATTTGAAACATCTATAATTCATTTCTGAGAGCAGTATATGATCAGTCTCCACTGTTTACTTTTATTTTTCAATCTGAGTCTTTATAATGTGACATACAAAGTTTACATTTTGGCGCCAGTGTGTTTATATTGTGTTTGTATTTTTTCTCACAGTTCCTCCTGATTTTATCTTGCAGAGTTGTATGAGTCTTGAATTACAAACTAAGAGCAGGTGTAATTAATTTTAGGAAGATCAGGAAGGATTTTGTAAGATATATTTATATAATGGATGAATGCAAAAAGAATGTATTTTCTTATAATACATTTGCCTGGCTGTAGTTTACTATGAAGAAAAGAAACTAAATGAAAATATTCAATTTTCTCTTACATGGCTTATATGAGGTCTTATAAGTTCTTGGTTTCATTCTAAATCCAAAGAAACCAATTCATTCCAATGTTCTCCAAACAAAACACCTAAATGCAGCAGTATATCACTAATCTTGGATAAGATTGGTTAATATTAGTAAAATATTAGTAAAAGATGGTAAGAGAGATTGTCCAGACTAAGATTTCTAATCTGAAAGTACAACATACTTCTTAAACTTTTGCAATCATAAACATTGAGAAGAATGAAGCATGCATAATTTCTGATTATAATGTTTAATAATATTGAAGATGACTGTGTCTCCAAAGCAAGTTTAAGAGTTAAATGACATCATATTCCAAATAAAAAACAAAAACCAGACAAATATATTCATAATGCATCAGCCATTAAGGAAACCCATAGTTCACATTGCAGATCTAAATGGAGGACATTTTGCATGAAATAGTCTATTTGTCCATCTCATTAAAAGAAAACTACTATTATTGACAAACTACTATTAAAATTAAATTCTTACATTTCCAGATCCCTTCACAAGTAGATTACTGCCTTCCTGTCAAACAGGCAACAAATAGTAAAAATAGAAAATGCTTTATCAAACCCTGCACCAGTTATCAGCAGTGTCCCCCAAGGAAGCATTCTAGGACCCACACTCTTTACACTCTATATAAATTACCTTTGTGATCACCTTATTAGCAACTGCATCCCCTTCGCTGATGATATAAAACAATTCAACACCACTGTCAATGCTACCGTCCTTCAAAAAGACCTTGATTGTGTGTCTGAATGGTCTAACAGTTGGCAATTCCAAATTTCTACCAACAAATGCTCTGTCCTACATATTGTAAAAAAAATCTATATACCAAATACAAGCTAGGCAGATATGACCTTGTTGATGACCCTCATTCTGTCAAGGACCTTGGAGTTCTCATAAGGTGCCAAAGGTCACTGCAACATTATTGCCAAAAAGGCTTTAAGAATCGTAAATTTAATTTTACGAAGCTTCTCCTCTTGTAATACTGATTTGCAAACTAGGGCATTCAAAACCTTTGCTAGACCAATACTTGAATTCAGCTCTGCTGTCTGAAATCCATACTGTATATCAGACATAAACACAATTGAACAAGTCCAGAAGTATTTTACCAGAAGAGTACTGCATTCCTCTGTTCGCAACAAAGTACTCTACACCAACAGACTTGAGATTCTAGACTTAGACAACCTTGAACTACACCGACTAAGATTAGACTTAAACATAGTACATAAAATCATATGTTACAACATCTTACCAGTTAATGAATATTTCAGCTTTAACCACAACAACACAAGAGCACACAACAGATATAAACTAAATGTAAACCACTCCAAACTCAATTGCAGAAAGTACAACGTCAGCAACAGAGTGGTCAATGTTTGGAACTCACTACCTAATTCTGTTGTCACCTGCTCAAACCCCCACTCCTTTATCCTCAAACTAACCTCTATTGACCTCACCTCCTTCCTAAGAGATCTGTAAAGGGCGTGCATAAGCGCACAATCGTGCCTACCTTCCCTGTTCCATTGCCACAATTATTAGTTCCTATTTCTTGTATTTAAATTTATGTTTATTCTTGTTTCTGTTGTATTGTAAGCTTTTGACAAATAAATAAATAAAATAATTTAAAAAACCAGTTTTAGAAGGTGCAGTTGAGAAGAAAAAGGAAATATTGATCAGTGAAGGTATTTCATATGGAACATATTCTATGAAGAGATATAAAGAGTAAATGTGGAATACATCTTGGAATTATCTAAGAAGGGGGAAATACTACTGAAAAATAGCTAAAAAGTATTCAGCTCCTTAAAATATATTATGCAAAATTCTATTATTATATTTTTATATTTGCAATTAGGAGATTTTGATGACTAGCTTTTGAAAGTCTGGTGATTAAAAAGAACATCCAGTTGGCCAAAAATATTCATATATACATACATGTGTATATGAGTACACATACACACACACACACACACACACACACACAATACACACACACATATATAAATATATCCACTTCAGGAACTTGTAATAAATATATCTATTTATGAAATTTATATTAATTTTTTTTATTTTTTAATATTCTTAAATTGTGTGAACAACCTATTAAAAAATTAAAACAGGTGCAATTCAAAATTGCTAAAATAATAAATTGTGAATATAGGATAAGATTGTCTGATAGAAATGTGTAGTAGTAACAGTTAAAAGAAAGGCCTGATGGACAATTGCATCTGAAACTGTTGCTACAAGAGTCCTACAACAATCAATTTTAATAATACAGGGAAAAACATTTAAGAACAACTATTCACAACTTTCAATTTTACAGCCAGGCTTTTTTGTCTTGAATCATTACATAATGAATCACTTGCACATGTGGCTCCCTTAAGAACATTTCTATTAAGTCTCAGTTCACAGGCAAAGACATAATGGAGCAGGCATTCTATTTGATTATTCAAATCCTAATATCATACTTCTGGGCTCAGTTACCTAGAAATAAGACTAAAACACAGTGTACTTAGACCAACTAAGTATGTATAAGATTGCACTTCACAAGTGTTTCTTCAGCTGTTACATATCTTCTACTCATCATCTTAATTGGTAGATGGATCATCTAATAGGTTCATACTGATTGCATAGTAATTAGAAACTCTTTCAATCACTCAAGAAAACAGACCTTGGAAAGAACGTTATTCTAGCCCTGAAATCTTGCTCAAGGCACATTTTATATACTCTGCTGAATGAAATATTAGCTTTATTTTCAGATAGTGGGTACAAAATATGATTACCAGCTAGAAGAGGAGCCTTTATTTTTCCCTAGGAGAGCTCCAAGAGATGGAAAAATATTTTTCTTCAGATTATTTGATCTCCAATTTGAAAAACCACAGCCAGTGTAGCTAATAGTCAGAGATTATAGGAATACAGTCTGATAGTACCTGGATATCTTCTGAATTGAACTGCATGGGACAAGAAGAACAACTGAAACTGCAATTGGTCCATAATGTCCACAAAATCCGCCATGGCATAGGGTTGGGATTTTCTTAAGTCATAAAAAAATATTAATAAGTGGGTGGATAATGACAGGTAACACACCTCCGAATTTGCAGTCAGATGTGAATTTGCAGCCACAATTGAAGGACCAACAAGTAGATTAGTCCCAGTATACCTCTCTGGTAAAGGAGAAGAAGAGAGTGTATACTTGTGCTTTGGACAGTTGCTTCTTACAAAGAGACATCAAGATATTGGTTTCATGTTGGTTTGAGAGCTAAGAGACTAAGAAAAGTCTCTTCAAAGAGACCCTTGAGATGGGGAAAAAGAAAATGTGAAGAGAGCTTAAATTCTACAATATCTGAATAAATTAAAAGCCAAGTGCTAAGGCAGGACTTCCCAGAGAACCTCCCTCACTCTCATTATATGGGTAATCCTCGAGTTACGGATATAATAGAGCCTGCCAATTACATTCGTAACCCAAGGATTCATTTCATTGAATCACATTCAATGAATATGATTACTCCCTGCTTTCCCCAATGCATTTGTTAATCAAATGTGCAGGTCATTAAATGCACATGAAGGTATCTCAGAGTGAGAAAGAGAATGTGAGGCCTAGTGCTGGAGCAGGCCATCCAAGGCCTCTCCATTCCACTAAGATACCCCATGATCCCTGCCAGGTCCCCACAGACTGGGCCTGATTTGCTAGTGTCCAGGATTCCGCTTACTCCTCCCAACCCCATTTCCCATGGATTACTTACTTATTGAAGATTTCCAGAGCTCCAGAAGAGACCGACCTTCTGGCAGAGAAGTCAAAGTATTTTATTCAGATGATGACAAAGCTGTAAGAGTGTGAAATATAAAGAAAACATTTTCACCAGTTTCTGAGTAAAGGGTGGGGCATGGTGGCCAGCAGGCCTCTGTTAATAGAAAAGGCTTGGACTGGGCCACAACAGCCTCCTGCTTCAAGGATTGAGGCAGCAGCAGCAGCCAGTCAATGAGGAGTTTGCTTCCTTTGTTTCATTGGGCTGAACCACAAGCTCCTTGTTGATTGTCTGCCATACCCCAATCCCTGAAGTTGCTCATTCGAACTAGCAAGCAGGACACTGATTGTCACCGGCCAGACTGGGCCCAAACTAAGCCTGCAGACCAGGGGTGGAATTCAAATTTTTAAACAACCAGTTCCATGGGCATGGCTTAGTTGCTGGGCATGGCTTGGTGGTCATGTGACTGGCTAGGTGTGGCCAACTCAACATCACTCACATTCAGGCTCCCATCTCCTTGCCTGGCCTCTCATGACTGTGGGGATGCTGCAACAGTCGTAAGTGTGAAAAATGGTCATAAGTCACTTTTTTCAGTGCCATTGTAACTTTGAATGTTCACTCAACACAAGCAAAGTACCAGAAAAAGAGGGGAAAAAAAACCTCCAGAGAAGTTCCAAAGACAGGAAGTCTAGTCCTGCCAAGAATGTAATAAAGGTTAAAGGAGAGGCAGTTTCTGTAAGCAACACCAGAATGTTTCCTTCCTGCCTTCTTTATAGGATTAGGCCAGTAATTTCTTCTAACAGCCAGTTCTCTGAACTGCTTAGAATGCTAACAACTGGTTCTAGCGAATAGGTGCGAACTGGTAGAATCCCACCCCTGCTGCAGGCCGTCATGGCAGAGAAGCTGGTCTTATTTCACAGGTTTCTGAATAAAAGACTCGGCTTCTCTATCATGTAAGGCAGCCTTCTGGAATCTTTGAAAAGTAAGTATAGTAAAGCCATGGGAAATGGGATGTAGAGGGCTGGATGTAGCTCATGTAAGCTCCATTTCAGCTGTAAAAGGCTGGAGGAGGCCTCTGGAGGCCCCTGCAGCCTCTTTTGGCCAGCAGAGTACTGCAGGAGGCTGTCCAGGTCAAAAACAGCCACCATGGGCTGGTTCTTTACTATTTCCAGGCCTGCCTGTGAGCCAGATTTAAGTGTCCATGGCCAACCCTGGCCTGCAGGCCTTGAGTTTGATAGCCCTGATTTATGGGTTTATATATGAATAAGGGATGGGTTATTGGAAGAAGAAAAACATACATATAACTTTATAGAATTACTAAATTTGTTTGCAGTTGTGATGAAGTCACCTCTTTAAATATTTCTTTTGTTATTTTCATCTTTCTTTTTTATTTGCACTTTCTATTTAATTTGCATTGTCATTTACTACTGATATTAAAATTTTCCATAAAAATTATAAAATAATAATTAATGATCTATATCTGAACATTTTTAAAAGCTCCAAAATATAATTTATTTATTGGAAGTTCTTCTACTGAGCTCTGGCTAATGCTGGGTTTGCTGGACCACATCTGAGTTTTGGAAAATGATGGAGAAATTAAGGTCCATTCATGAACTTTTAAAGAAATACTGATTTAGAATTGTAATATTGAGAAAATGTTATTCTTTCTCTTGGTAGCACAGGAGAAACTTCACTAACTATTGGGATTAACAAAATAAGGTAATGAAAAGTTTTCTTTTGGTTTATGTTTATAATTAAAGAAGCCTAATTTGCCTTTCCAGTACTAATAGATGCCTAAAACAATTTTGTGTTACCTGTCTCTAAATTCTGCAGTGTAGCTTTTTTCAAAAAAAAAAAAAGGAAAGAAAGAAAAACTGTATATAAAAAAATAACTTTAGGGTTAAATAGGAAAAAATATATAAATTAAGAAAAATACATTTGAAACAATGCAAATTTTCATGCTATATATTTTAAAAATGACATACTGATGTGAAATTTGGATAGAATGGAGTCATAATTAAATACATCTGAAAATGATATGAACTAGATATAGATCAACTTGTATGTCTAATAATATGAAGAATAATCTGGCAATAGAAAGACATAAATTCCAAAATATATGGAATCTATGTTTTCAAAAAGCATTTATCAGGAAGGAGTGGTTTTTAATATTTCTCTATATATGAAGGTTTAATCACTATTTCCAAGGAAGCAGTACAAGCAGATAATTGTCTCCAATGAAATAAAAATAGCTATTAAGTATTTATTATATAAACTGTCATGACTACCCAATGGACGTACAACTCTGGATGGTTAACAATAAAATAATCACCATATCTATTAAAAACAAATTAAGAGAACCCAAAATAAGTACACTAAATACTAAAGTTCATTGTCAGGCCAAAGAACCAAGACACTTTATTCTTCCAAGCAAAGTTTATTATTGTTCACACCTATAGACAGAATCTTACCAAACTGTAGCACTTTACTATTTACATCAAGCATAAATTCTAAGAACCGTTCGGGAGGTACTGTCTCTTTACCTTTTTTTTCCACAGAGATGTCTCTTATTCTTCTGAAATGCATTCCCTCTGACCAGGAAATACCACCCTACTATGTTCTATCACACTCCCCCAATACCCAGGGCCAGAATTCAATGAAGAGCCAGTCTTTATTACACCTTTCTTAAGTAACTAAAACTTCATATTTGCATCATCCTTAAAAGGTATCATGAGAACTTTATGAAGATGTGCTATATTTAATTGTACTTAACAGGTCAATTTGTTGTAAACAGTGTGAATTATGTCAGTAAACACAGATAAACTGTTGCATTCATCCAACTATGACCATTCTAAATCTTAGCAGGTCAAACCTGATTAATGTTTGGATGGAAGATCATAGCAAATTCCAGAGTTATCAATCAGATTGGAAAATTCAGAACAAAACAAAGCAAAACAGAAAGATAGTAGTGGCAAATCATATTGTTGCATGGATATACAAATTTGACTCCCTTTCCAGTCTCTTAGCTTTGATTAGTCAAGGGGATGGAAGAGAATGACATGAAATAATGATATCACTCATGCTTGGCACTACCTTTTATTTAGGAGAGAAACTGGTAAAGTAATTGCATTTGACTTGTGAGAAATTGGGATGCACTGTATTACATGATAAAGACTGAGATGATATTTGGATCGAGAAATATAGGAATAAATACTTAAGAAAACTGGTGATAGCTAAAGTATCTGTGGAAGTAGAAACCCGATGTTGATAGAAAGTCTTTGAAGATCTGAAGGAATGGTTGAAGTTCATTCAAAAACTACCTTCTGCCCAAGGAAAATTTAATTTCCATTTCTGAATTTGTCAACTAAACCAAGGATTCCCAGAGACCTTGGTCTTTTCCAGCTGTCTGCAATAAGACTTTCATCATCAATGTTTTGATCTTGTCTTGGTGTCAGGAGGCTAGACTGGATGTGACAAACAGGCTGAAAATAAACCCAAGGGAAATGGAGTCACTATTTGTCCACTATGATCCTTGGTCAGCAGCAGGATTGTTTGTTGAGTATTGGGGGAAATACTACTTCTGCAGCACCTTACTACTTCTGAAGTCCACCTGGATTCCTGACTGATTGATGGGCACCTACTGATAGAAGCTTTCTGAAGCACCAGTTGTGGCACTAGCTGAGGCACAAAAATCTCACAATTTTTCGTGACTTCATTATTTCAGGTCTGATTATCACAATGCATTGTATTGGTTTTACCTTTGGAAAAAAAACACTCAAAAGTAAAATTGATAAAAAATATGCTAGCTCATTCAATAAAGGTTTTATACCAGGTGCCTGTATTTTCAGTACCATGAACCGAAGAAAATCAATCAGTTTCTAAATGCAATTCAAAGGGTTGATTGTGCCCTATAAAGGTCATATACGATCCAGTGCCTATATATCTGAAAGACCAATTTTTCAAATTATAATTGGGCCATTTACTGTATTCATCCTGGAAATAGCTTCTAGTTGCACCCTATTTTCAAAAAATAAAAGGAGCCCTAATTTTTCTGTCACAAACCATGCCTTATGGAACAGTTTTCCCCTTAGATTCTAATTACATGTTGGAAGTTAATTAAAATTAAGCTTTTCAAAGAACATTAACGTGATGTTTCCTTCTTTGCTATCTTTAATTTGTAATATCTTAGTTTAAATAGTCGTAATTCTATGCGGATCATTATTATTTGATTATGATACTGATTTTTATTGCTTATTAAGTTCATTGTGGGTGTTTTAATTGGATTCGTTCATATTTATCTACTCTGAATGTTTTAATTTTTAATTAGTATCATAAACCTCCAAGAGTTCTTAGCAGATTTTTTTTATTTGTCAATTGCTTACAAGATAATAGGTATAAGTAAAAACATAGTTATGAATACATGGATACATATAAGAAAAAGAAAAAAAAAGAAAAGAAACACTAGGACAGGGACAGTAGGCACATTAGTGCACTTATGCAGCAGACCTCTTAGGGAAGGGGTGAGGTCAATAGTGAAGAGTCTAAGGTTAAAGTTTTGGGGGTTTGGAGGAAAAAAACAACAGTCAGATAGAGTATTCCAGTCATTGACCACTCTGTTGCTGAAGTCGTATTTCCTGCAATCAAGTTTGGTTTGATTAACCTTGAGTTTGTATCTATTGTTTGTTCTTGTATTATTATGGTTGAAGCTGAAGTATTCACTGACAGGTAGGACATTGCAATGTATGATTTTATATACTATACTTAGATAGGACTGAAGGTGGCGTAGTTCTAGGTTTTCTAGGTCTAGAATTTCAAGTCTGGTGGCATAAGGTATTCTGCAATGAGTAGAGGAGTGGAGAACTCTTCTTGTGAAATATTTCTGGACTTTCTCAACAGTGTTAATATCAGATACGTAATGTGGGTTCCAGCTGTATTCAAGTATTGATCTAGCATTTTTAGATTTTGCAGTAAAGAAATAGGGAAGCAACTTCCAAGAGGTCATGACTAGAGAAAGCAAACAAGAAATATTAGGAAATCAAGTACAATGTGATAGGCAACACTGAAATTAGTCAAATGATAATCCTGATTGGCACATATGTTGGAAAGCAATAATACATACAAAAGAAATAAACCCAACAGAAAGATGGTTACACTGTATGTAAAGAAAAAATATCCTGGCAAAAAAAAAAATCAAAAACCAGAGAAGGGAAATCATATTGTAAGTATTTATCTAATAATAGAAAGAGGGGACACCAAGATGGAAATGTTGCGTGAGTTTATTATAGATCACCTAGCCTGGCAAAAAAGTATGAATAAGGAATATCTTTGTCAGATGATCAGTCTTTTGAAAAGTGCCCAATACTGAAAAAGGGTTATTTCAATCATGTTGACATCTACCTCTGCCAAGAATCAGAAATTCAGTAAATTCTTGTTCTTTCTCACAGACAACAGATGAGTCTGCTGTCCTGAATAAAATTAGTTGAAAAAATGAAGGTACCTTGGAGAAACCAATCATGATATTCTTGGATGTGCAACAAAGGACTTGGGAAGAATCAGACCTCCAGAAGGAAAGATACTGACAAATTCTATGGAAACATAAGTCAAATCAATGATGAATGATACAGGAATGATACAATATACTGAAAGAGAAAATTATCCTTTAAAGATGACAAATTCTTGTAAACAATTTGTTCAAGTTGTCAGACTGGCAAAATAGAATATAGTGTAATAAATTGGAACTATTGGGTTTTTTTCTTTGCATCTTTCTCATAAATTAAGCTAGAGATTATAATGCTGAGTTCAGCATTTTCA